CATTAATAACAGTTGCTGTAATATGAATATTACATAGGTGATTATCCAAATTTTTCGCTGTCGATGGGATTTGAACACCCAACCTACCACTTGAGAGGTTGACAACCTGACCACTTCACTAGGTCGCCACACCCCAATATTGCTTATTCTATTAAATCTGTAATTCAACATTGTTATATAATTTTGTGAAGATAAATACTGTAAAGTTATAAAATAACAGTAAGTCTTAAATTAAAAGTAAGATTGCTACAATTATAGTTATAACTGCTTAGTTATAGTCATTAACATAACTAATAATAACTAGTCAGATTGATTTTGCAAACTAGTTAATCAGTGCTATATTTTTAATAAAAATAATAGATATTTTATTATTGTATAATTAAACATAAAATACATATTAACAACATTTGATTAATAAAAAAATCCATTATCATAATTCTGATCAAGATTGCAAATCATTGACCAGATTTAAAATTGATGACTAGGTAAAATTACCATCTAAAAAAGTTTCAAATATTAAAAAATTATATAATAAATATATTGAAATACAAAAAAAAAATTTAAACCAACAAAATAATAATTATAATAAATCAATCATTTTATTTATTTTGTATAACTCAATAAATATAATATTTATTTTAGCAGAAAGTATTATGATTATGATCTTTTTAAGTAATTGAAAAATTATAACCAAATTTTTACTAACTTTAATTAAAGGTATTTAATAACTATGTAACCAAATTCAATAAATTTTTTTATTTGAATTTTACTGACTTTTAGAATTCTAATAAAAAAAATTATTAAATTTTATTAGCTGATTATCAAGGTACCTTTGATCAATGTTAGAAAAAACTTTGGTACAGTTATTATTTTGATAAACATTTATATTTTTTTAAAAAAACTTTAATCAAAGGTATCTTGACAACTACCTGACTAAATTCAATATTTATTTTGAATTCTGCAGACTTAAAGGATTCTAATAAAAAAATTTTTATTGAATTTGGTTAGGTAGTTGTCGAGATACCTTTAATCAAAAATTTTCTAAAAAATAAAAATATTGATTAAAATAATAACCATGACAAAATTTTCTCTAACTTTGGTTGAAGGTATCTCAATAATCATATGAACAAATTTAATGAATTTTTTTTATTTGAATTCTATTGATTTATAGAATTCTAATAAAAAAAATTTATCGATGTTGGTCAGATGGCTATCAAGATACCTTTGATTAAAAAGGATAATTGATCAGTTATTAGCTGGCTATAACTGACCGCAAGTGACCAGTTATTAGCCGGTAACTGATAATAACCGACTGATGACTGACTGTTACCGACTGAACCCATCTCTAATCGAAGGGCAGAGGTGACATATTAGCATTTAGAATCAGTATTTACTTAAAGCATTTATTTAAATAAAAAACTAAATTATGAATGTTTAAGTAAATGCTGATTGTAAATGCTATACATATATTGAATAACATGATATGTCACCTCTGCTTTTCGGTCTGCGAAGCAATGTGACAACGTTGAATCTCGGATCGAATGGTCAGATTCTCATGGTCGATGCAGGGACGGTGAATACTTCCATTCCATTTTATTCCAATATCAATTAACCAATCAAAACTTGTATCTAGCGCTAGATGTAAGTCTTGATTTGTCAATTTATATCGGAATAAAATGGAATGGAAGTATTCACCGTCCCTGGGTCGACATTACACGAATATCTTAATATCTTCGTAGCAAATAATTAACGCAATTTAAAAACTTCACACCCCAATTATTTTAATAATACGAAGCATTTTAATATAAAGATATATGTTTACCAAAAAACCTTTGTTAAGAAAGAATAGATTAAATATATTAATTAAAATACTTGAATTACATGATTATCTATTGCTAGCAATGACTTTGTTAATTAGAAATGACATGAATTATAACCTAACACATTTAATTGATACAAATTCATCTCTAATTAGGATATTACGGCATTACGACATTGCAGCATTACGGCATTACGACTATGCCGTAATTAATTCTATGACGTGGTAAAATGCCGTAATTCAGTAATTCTGCCAATAACTATAAATACGACATGACTTTTAGATTGATCCGGATGTTTAATGATGTCAACAACAAACACGTATAATAACTGATTTATTACACAGCTCTTAACTGTTGGGTTCACTAATTTCCCCCAAGTTACTATCGGTCGTGAGCAAATCGCATTCCTAATTGACGATCTTTAATAACACGATGCATCTACAGCAAATCAGAGAACAAGATCAGGTGTGACATAAAATTAAAAAAACAATCGCATATTTTTGAAAAGACCCATTTATCTCAAAATTTTGCCTAAGAAGTCGCCTTCTGCGCACTGAAAAAAAATCCTTTGTATGTAATTTAGTGCGAATAATTACAGCCAATAGGTACTTGGGAAATTTTGTAAATCTCATAACTGTTACCCATGGCTTTTTTTACTGATATTTTCACAGCTGATATTTCATGGCAAATTTCAACCGTGAAAATATAAGTAAAAAATATCTTGGTAAACAATTAAGAGCTATGTAATAAAGGGCGTTATTCAAATTTCTTAAATTGCAACAATAGTAAGTTTGTAAAATAGGATTAGAGTTTGTTTTACGAAGCACTGAATGGTTTTAAAGATAAAACTTTTAAGGAAATAAGCGACAGAATTTCATGTGCAATCCCTCATTTTATTTTAAGGGGCAAATTGCTTTATTATTACAGCGCGTTTGTTAAATACAACTATTCTTGGTTCCTAAATTTAAATCTTGGAGTTCAAGTTTATTATTGATTTTTCTAACATTGAACTCAAAAAATTATTTAACTCCAATCTACAATCTATAATAACAATGCTTCTAACCCATTTTCCACTATTGCAACCCATTTTAAACTCCAGTACAGAAATTTAGGAAAATGATTTGCATACATCGGTTTCGTGTAACACTATGTACATTGATGTATGTGCGTAAAGTTACAAGAAACCGATGTACGCAAATCATTTTCCTAAATTTATCGTTACTTATTAACAATAATTTTAGCTTTGTTGCGTACATCGTTGTTTGATCAGAATAAGTTAACACATGAAGTAAAATATTCTATGATAAGATGACTTACAATCAGTGACAAATCTGTTGTAATGTTTAGACTCAATGGCTGATTTATTATGTTAGCCTTAATTGCTTTTAATAAGTTTGTTAACTACCAATCACCTCATTTTACTCAACCTAAAACGCCAATTGCTTATTTATGTCATCCCCTTATGGGAACAATGGGTGCACATCTTATTAGAATTAACCTTAATGTTGATTGTTGCTTATTTTCACAAGCTAGACTCTTTATATATAGCTAGGCGTTATTTCTTTAAGGTCTTATTTGACCTGAATACAATCCTTGAGCTTTACTGAGCTTGTAGGTTTATTGTGGTTTGCAAAGTTATGTGAAGCTCGAAGATCAATAATAAAAAAGTAATCACTAATTTCCGATTTTTTTAACATTTTTTTTTTTTGACTTTTAGACTAGACAAAATTTGCAAATTTTGATTGAATATTTTAATGCGCAACCTTATTTTTGCAAATATATAACAAAATGATGATATGCAACTTTTTTTTGCAAAATAATAGATGCGCAAATTGTGTCTAATCTAAAAGTCAAAAAAAATGAAGAAATCGAAAATTAGTGATTATTTCTTTTTTTAATGATCTTCAAATTTCACATAATTTTGCAAACCGCAATAAATACCAATAAAATGCTTTATTTTAATTGGCGATAATTACCTCCTGAGGATCGTCTAAAGTAAGGTAGTAATTTATATGTGTCACATGATTTTAATTTACAAATTATTAGTAATCAATTTAAAAACTAATTACAATATTGCTAGGCTAATAGAAACTATTTAAAGTCCGAAGGAATTTATAATTTTGGTTAACAACTAATCAGATTAATTAATTAATTTTCACAGTATAGTGATTGTTTTTGATCTAATAACCAACAACCTGTAATTTGTGTTATATTGTTTTGATCTGATCATCCTGATCAACCAATTAAAATCCCGAATTTGCGCACACGCAGACTCATAGGCAGAAGTTTATCTAATTGGCTAATAAATCCAATTTAATTTTGCGCTATTTATACAGTTTAGAGTACTTTTAAAAAAACGATAACTAATCATAATGAAAAAAAAAGCTATATAGAAGGTTTCATTAGAGCTGTAGGACTTCATAGTCAAAAATAAGGTCTAATTCTCGTCCGTTTAAAAAAAGTAGCATAGTAATAACTTCTCAAAACCCGATAAAATCAACTTTTTACTAAGCTAATCTTTTTAAACAAACGAGAATTAGGTCTTATTTTTGACTATGGAGTCATACAGCTCTAATGAAACCTCCTTGTACGGCTTCTTTTTTATTTCATTATGATTAGTTTTCGTTTTTTTAAAAAGGTACTCTGAACTGTATAAATAACGTAAAATTAAATAATATTTATTAACCAATCAAACAAACTTCTCCTATGACACACAGACATCAACTATGCCTCTAATGTAATGTCCTTCGAACAATAATTAGTTTAACAAATACTACATATCAAAAAGTTGATACTAGAATTTATTAACGGTACAATGCTATGGCAGAATTGATATCTCAGCAATTTAAAATTCAATATATTGTTGGATTCGGATAACTGCAACTCTGTCGCTCCACAATTCAAAATCTCGCGTAACGTACGATAGGTAACCTTTTCGAAAGAGGGGCTGGTGGGTGATTAAGGCTTTCGGTTACTTCGGTTCAACTAAGTCCAACAGGGTAAGTCACGTAAACAAGAACTTGAACGAACAACTGTGGTTATAGGGGTTTACAGGGTTTATACTGGGTATAGTGTTAGGGTTTTATTACGGACGATACAATGTATTGGGACTTGTTATTTTAATAAAGTAAACAAGACATAATCGCCTCTAAGGGCCATTTCGGCCTTTATTTATATTATCTTTCTAACTATGACTTAATTTAATTACATTAATCTCGGTTCTCTATTTTCTCTATTTAATTCGATCTTTCTAATTTATCGCTATTAAATCCCCTTTCCTTGATATATTTAATTAATCGAATTAATGCGATTAATTGCCGGGATATCCATATCAA